CTGTATTTTCTATCAGCTTTTACCATTCATAATTTTCTTGTAAAGTTCCAGTAGCAGTCTTGGTTTCCATATTCGTAGCAAGCATTTTAGACTCTATCAATTTGCCCAGTTATCAATTCAAAGTTCCATGGCAAGTTGAAGACCTTTCGTGCTCAGCCCCATAGTCAAAAATCAAATAAGTGATATTGGTTCTATGACGTGGTTTCACAAAAACAATTGAGAACAATTTACAGATGAGCAATGAGCCGTGAAATAGCGTTCCAGAATAGCGACGACCACTAAAGAAACCACCCCCGTCCCATCCATCCCCGCTTTACGCCCTCTCATCCAATTTTCAATGCAGTCAATTGTGGCACACACCATTGATCGACGTGTGTCGATGCCTACGTGTGTGGGTTTTTTTTTCTGTTTTCTCATGAATGGCATGACTGACTGCCAGTGGAAATTTCGATGGTTTCTGAACAACGATTTTGACCAGTTTTGGTAATCTAAGCAGTAAACGCCCTCATTGTGATGCTTTTTCCCGTCGCAACGGCAACCAGTTTCATGCTGAGTCCTTTTTTGTTCTTACGCATTACATTGTAATAGGCACTCTGAGTTCTACCTAGTTACCGCTACTTATGCAGCTTTTCCTCTTACTAATCATAAGTAGTTCGATACCTTTTGAACAATTCCATGGCTCTTACTCTTACTAGTCTTAATTCTTCACTGAACCCATGCAATGGCCTTCGAATTTTTGCTGGATTGAATTATGGATTTTCTTTCCATCGATTGACTGCCATCACTGCCTTAAGTGGTTCAGCGATTGCGAAGAATTAACCGAAACCCGACTTGTGTCTTACTATTTAACCCATAACGGACGGCGTGCGCCACATGGTGGCGCACGATTATTTCTTTTGTTTTTGGAATGTTTCTAGCAATCTTAATATACCCATATATACTCTCAGCAATGTGGAATAACATATCTTCCCAGGACCTGGACGACTGGATTTTTGACAAACCTACAA